AAATTAGGTTAAATTTTAAAAAGGCGACGCCTTAAATATATGAGGCGAGGCGCGCCTTATGGTGCGCCTCAGTAAACTTGGCGTAAGCCTCATAAACTAAACTTATTGCGTAGGCTTTGAGGCTTAATTGGTCGAAAATGCGCTGAGGCGCGCCTCAAGGCGCGCCTTTTATTGCGCAATTTTAAACGTTGTGTTCATATATACCACAAGTAAGAGAATGTCTTCCAACATTTAAGATCTTCCTACCACTCTCCAAATTACACTAGTATCCAATATGAGGCTCCAATGTGTACTCTATCAAAACATGCAAGGAGTTCAAAGGGCACATACAAAGAGATCACAATGACTAAAACAACCAACGGATCATCCTCTCCATCAATAGGCATCAACTAACAATGATTAAATCTCCACTTGTGATTAAACTAACATTACTTTTGCGTTTAATTCCATTATATTGGCAGCTTGTCTTTTGCAAAAGAAATATAGCAGTGTTGTATATTATTTAGAAAGTCCATGGACATATAAAAGATCTCCAAGTAGATCAACACCGAATATAGCCTATTTAGTACTAGCATAAAACTTACCAACCCAACTTATACTTGCGTAGGCTCTAAAAAATTTCACTTGGCTCTATTAATGAGTATTTTTAGGTTAAATTTTTAAAAGACTGATTAAATATTGGATAAGACACTACTTAGACCTGTCAACTTTATTTTGCAAGGGCATTATAATTTTGTTAAAGGTTTCCCATGAGCATAAGCCCCTATAATTAATTACCCTCTCAATCACATGAGAGAACATTCGATTAAGGCTAGTCATTAAGCCCTATGTAGCATATAGTAGTAATGATGTGATTTACAAAAGAGAAAAATATAACACCATTAGCTTAGAGCGAATGGTAGGAAATAATGACAAACTCAATCAAGATCTTATGGTTCCATTATCTCAAGTTGGCATATTGGTCTACATAGTCAGCAAGAATAGTTAATCCAACCCGATTTAGTGATTCGTGTATTGCATCGTCCAAGGGGGACCTATAGACCCTAGAGTGAATATAGGTTTAAGAGGCCAATTTCAAGCCAACTATGGCTAACAGAGAAATTCGTGCCCTATCAAGTGCACATTATTGATCATAACTCATTGATCCAATGAGAAGCATCCAAACATTGGCCTTTACTATAATATAATGGTGTCATTTTGGAAAACCTATCCAATTGAGTCCATGTGATAGGTCCTTTATCGTGAAAAAGTTTTTTAATCATATAGATACAATTGAAATGATAGACTTTTTGTGAGCTTTAATCATTCTCAAAATCATTGGCGGATGGATGAACGAGTTGGATAGTTGATTGCTCTATGCAATGTTTAAAAGTGCGTGATTGAGTATTGAGGCATTTTTTGTTCGTGAGGCGAGGCGTAAGCCTCAAGGCATTTTGAGGCGTAAGCCTCAAAATCAAAAGATTGTGTAAATATAAAATGATAACTTTTTTAGATACTAATGAGTAAAAAATATAAAACATAAAAAAGCACAAGATATGAAGTGAAATCAAAATATCCCAATAATACGACTATGAAATTCTTCATTTGAATCATCATTATGACAAACTGCTCTCTCCCCTTCCTCCTCTCCTATAGAGTCCAATGTCTCTCAATCAAAGCATGCACTCATGAAGAAAACTCATACAAAGCATGCACTAATGAAGAAGCAAAATAACACTAACAACTATTACTAAAGATGATGAATACAACAATATGCCAGGCAGCCGGGGGTCCAAGGGGGCGCTGCCCCCAGGCGGGGTTCGACCTGCCTGGGGTAATTTTGAAGTTCTGCTTATTTTTAAAGTTCGTAAGTTGTTTGTATGGAAAGATACCGAGCATGTACCTAGTGATACCGAGCATGTACCAAGCAGTACCGAGCATGTACCTAGCGGTACCGAGCATATACCGAGTTGTACCGAGCTTTTTTTTTTTTAAATTTAAAAGGAAGGCTCCTCTAAAACTTGAGGCGAGGTGCGCCTCAAGGCGCGCCTCAGTGAACTTGAGGTGTACGCCTCAATGCCTACTTTCATTGCGTAGGCTTTGAGGCTTAAAAGTTTAAAATTGCGTTGAGGTGCGCCTCTTATTGTGCAATTTTAAACCATGGCTCTATGTTTGGAGTGGCTACTTAGTGTTTAAGGATTTTTTAATTCTTTAGATTTATTATAGATTTCATATTTTTATCGTGATTTAAACACAAAGTTGTTTTCTTTAGAATTTGAAGGCATTTTTTCTACTAAAACTCCCTTCAATTGAGATTTCTTGTTAATGTGGCCAACATCAAGAAAAAGAGTGATTATAATATATGTTTAGTTTAAGAGCTTGATTTTAATAATAAATCCGTCCAATTATAATGTGTAATATTTATGCTCATAATAAGGGTGGTTGATTTAATTATATTCATTTGAACCTTATCGACTCTACCTGCTTTTTTGTAGAGGATTAAGTTTGGAACTAATAGCCTGCAATATTGGTAAGGTAGCCCCGAGAGTTTGCTTGTTAAAAATAAGTTTTCTTTGTATGAGGCCTTGAAGCCTTGATACAAATGTTAAAAAAATATTTTTGTGAGATTTACCATTGAGTATTTGATTCCCAATGCACATTGATGCTTAGCTAGTTTGATTATATCAAAGGTAATTAAAAATCATAATTTATTTTTGATTTCTTTGAATTTATTTTGTAGATATTTTCCATAAGGCATAAGCTTTGTCGACTTTAGCCAGAATTGACCTTACAAAAGTGATGCTTATGACCCTATCCTATAAGCAAGGTGGCATACAAAATTTCTTTTTGAAATTTTCAGAATTTGTAAAATACAAGCCTTGTCAAACATAGCCTTTATTTCACAGAGAAACGGTCTTGAAAAAGTAGGACTTAAGACTCTACCCTATAGACAAGCCAACCCAGTTGAACTTAGCATGCAACATATTGAGTTTGAATTTGAAAAGAAGAATGATGCATTTCAACGTCTTTGTATGCATTGCAGCCATTGAACATAGAATGTAGTTCTGATTTTTCATACTTCTATTAGAAAGTTCTAACGTATCAGATTATTAGTACGTGATTTAGAAGTGTCACAAAAAAAGGAAGTGACAATCAAAAAGTTCCAAGAGTAAACCTTGTAAAAAATAATATAATTTAGAAATAACAAGGAGACGCAACCGAAGGGAACATTTATTATAAAGAAAAAAAAATCTCACCATTACAAATTCAACTCCCAGTTCAGGTCTATCAAATTGAACCCTGCACCGGTTACGATCCACAGTTAAGATACTCCCATCACGAACTTCTCTCATTCTTGGGTGGCAGGCAATAACTCGCTGTCCAACTGAAAGGGGACGAGCCAAATCAGCAGGCAATCCTTCAGTTACACCAGCGCGGACCTCAGCATAATGAGATCTAACTGATTCCCGATATTGTTCTAACTTCTCCCGCTCCTGCTGTAGGAACCGGCTGGACAACCGGCGTGGTTTGCCGAGAGAACTGCAGCAAATTCACAAAATTAGTGGTTGAAACAAGGCATCACAAAACCCAAAAGGAAAAAAAAATGTACCTTCTTATTACCCCCCACTCAACACGTGTAAGCCTGGGAATGTGACCGAGTCTAACATGATTTAAGTACTCAACAAACTCACTTTTGGCAAACCATGGGTAATCAATAGCACTGTAAAACCATTCAAATTTACACCATCTACGTAGTAGTTGAGATGATAAGCAGTGACAAAGTGTTTCCTGTATTTATAAACAAACTCAACATAAGAAGAGCTTCAAATGAAAATTTATCAGAGGGAGAAGCAGCTCAAATGACCTTTAGTTCATATGGTCTGTTACTGAATGGGTATTTGTCCGGATGTTCCTCTACACCACTTTCACTGGATTTTGATTCCTTTCTTGCTAAAGCTTTCTGCAAATCCATCTTACGACGGTTCCTACTTTTTGTTGGGATAATTACTTCATTTTGGGGAGAATCGGTTACAGCTGCCTCATTTGGATCTACCACCACTCTTTCCAAATCACTGGCAGTAAAATGCCGCTCCTGTAATTTAGCAGATTTTCCTAGTTTTTGTTGCATCGAATTTTGACAAACTCGTTTAACTTTAGCCAAAGATCTCTTTTCATCTTCCATCAAAATCTGGAAGGCATAAGCCATACCACACAAAAAAGTTAGATGCAATTGGATACTAGGAAACAGTACAACTCATTAAAAAGAGGAAACATGCAATAAATCTATATATGAGAGTTTCAATAGTCCACATTCTAATACCAATCAAAACCATGCTGGTAAATTTTATATATATATATATATATATATATATATATATATATATATATATATATATGTGTGTGTGTGTGTGTGTGTGTGTGTGTGTGTGTGTAACTTAGATTTCAATGGTAAGAGTGCAAACTCAGAACATTGCTAAAACCAGCTACATACTCAATTTCATGAATATGTAATCATCAATTGGATGCATCAATTAATCCCAGTTAAGAGCTCCAATTGCATAACTTAATTGCAATTTCAATGTGTAGAACTTTCAAATGGCTTGACGTAAATGCTTGGGTTGTTGATTATATTTGGAATATGATATAAGACAAACTAGTGTTTAATTAGAATTCTTTATGATATGAGCATTTTTTTTAAGAAAGTAACAAAAGCTTTATGAAACCTGATCCAAAAGCAATATTCATATCATATATCATATTCAATGTTATAATATTGAGTTTGAAAACCAAATAAAACGGTAATCATGTAAACCACCCTCCCACCACACCTAAAAAATACACCCCTCTTTTGTTTTGGATGGAAGCTTCATACCAGCTATGTTCTTTCAAGATTACTTTCTCAAAGGAGGTAGTTATCTTGATGAATAGGCACCTTCAATCTTTCATTTGCACATCAATGAGGTGATAACATCCAATGAAATAACGTAACCCATTAAACCCAATCCTAGGATAAATTCACTATAAAGGGAAGGCTAAATGATGTACAGTATATATGACCGGTCTCAAGATAATTTGTGTTACAATGAAAATAAAAGCACCAACACCAACCCATCACAATCCTTTCACCTACACCCATTGAAAATCCTCTCATGGAATTTCACCCAATTATGATGCTTGTCATACACTTAACACACCTTAAAGCATTAATAGCAACACCCACCACCATGGTACGAACAATAGTCTACACCAAAAACCTATGAAAACCGCCCCTACACTCATCATGGATCTCCTCACACAACATAATCATGACCTCACATTATTTTATTAGAAATTGCTCTTAAATGATAACGGACACTAAAATTAGAAATTGCTCTTAATTGACAATGGGCACTAGCACCATAGCTAACATCTAATTAAATGGAAACTCCTAGCAACATCAATATGACTCTAGGGCCACTCGACCTACATGCAAAGAATCACCTCCACTATAATAACCTCTTAGATGCCACCTTTTTGACTCATTAATTTGCCCGAGACATTTCTCAGCTTTGTAGCATCTTATCAACTCACTAGGTAGCACAAGACACGTTTTAGCCATGCGGCAAGAAGAGTGATCATTTTTCTTTCTTTTACAAAATTCCTCTATAGTTTGTCACAATATATACTAACTGCATGCATAAAATACAGCAAGCAAGGCTCGAAAGCTACCACACCCCCTTTCTAAACCATACCTCATGTATACTGGAATATGATTCACGTCCAAAACAACAATCCTACAAAATAAATAACTTTAGTTTTGGGTTCACACATATATTTACTATATGATTTAGCAAGACAGCAACTACAGGAAAAGCTAATGTTCAAGTTTGCTTAAGTGATGGATGAAGGTCATAACTAGCATAACTAGGCCTTATAAAAATATAGCTAAATTCAGATTTATTTAATAAATAAGCATATTGAAATAATTATACACTCAAAATTAAAGAATGCTATGAGACTGAGAAAAGCTTTTCTAATTCTACGGGATTTCCTAAGCCAGGACCTTAAGATTCTGATATATTGAAACTTAAGGTGAATATAGTGGACCCAAGCTCATGGCGACATTTCATTGTCAAGACTAATGAAAGAAGCCTAAAGTTTCTTCTAAAGCAAATGATGGTTACAGAGGAGCATCATAGGTGGCTTTAGAAACTGTTAGGTTATATATGATTTTGAGATCCAATATCGACTAAGGATCAAGAAGAAGGTCGTGGATGAGTTATCCAGTTGTATGGGGAAGCCCTACATAATGCCATTGTGCGTTCCCTTAGTTATGGACTGTGAGGCTTTGAGAAGGGAAAGTCAGCAAGATGGTCAAATTTTTAGTGGAGCTGCAAAATTTGGAAGGAAAAGAGGATGGAGCGAAGATAGAAGCATCAGATATAGTTCAGCCACTCCTACAGCAGTTTCGAGAAGTGTTCCAACTGGTTTAGTTGTAGCCTCCTCCATAGGAACACTAGCATGCTATCATCTCAAAGGAAGGAGTCTCACCTATCAATATTCATCTGTATGGGAAGACCGAGGTTATGAATAGGAGTGTGGAAACTCAAGGTGTTTTGTATAAGAAACAACCAATACCTGGGTGAAGTGATTACCTTGGGCAGATTACTGGTACAAAATATCCTACCATAGTGCAGTGCGAACTACACCCTTCAAAATCCTTAATGGCAGAGACACTCCTCACCTTGAATTTTGAACTGATCATACTGTACGATTGAATCGTACAGTACGAATATTTGAATACTTACTTAAATTAACCCACGTGATTAGTCAATTAAATCAAGGATTAATTACTGATTGGTGATCATATTGTACAACATGGATCGTACCTTATGATGAATCGAGATTGTTTTTGATCGTCCCGAACATCGTACCGGATGATCCCTTGATTTTTGAACTAGTCGTATTGGACGATGTAAATATCGTACCGAATGACCTGAAGCTTTTAACAGATCATACTGTACGAATTGGATAGTACTAGATGATGAACATAGACGAGTTTTGGTCTTCTCAGCATTCGTCCTGTACGAACAGAAGAAATATAACATATCGTACTGGACGATATTTGTATCGTACTGTACGGTAGTGTTCAGGAAAATTGCCTATTCTTACTCCTTTGTACCAAGATGAATGTTGTTTTGAACTGATCGTACTGCACGATCTTGGATCATATTGTATGAACAGAAATGTCTAAATTGAAGATTTAGAGTTTCTTGGAGCCTGATTTATATATGATACTTTTTTCCTTTTGAAACATAATAAGAGAGAGGAACGTGACAGGAGGGGGAACTCTTGAGAGGAAGCTACTTGGTGAGATTTTTTGGTTTGTGAGAGGAAGGAGAATGTGAGTTTGTGAGGGAGGAGTGTGAGGGGATCACACAGTTGTTTCAAGCCTGCTGCACGCTTGCTCCTCCTATGGCCCAAAAAAATCTTGTGGGAACTCTCTAAGGGGGAGAGCCTTCAAGGTCCATGTCCTCAAAGGTACTCTGCCTTCTCCAGGAGGGAGAAAAACGAGAAGGTTTGTTGCCGTCACCGGGAGGATAGTGACATAGCGGTTGGTACTCCGCCACACCGGGGAAGGTAAAAGTGAGGTTTTGTAAAGGCTTCTCCGCCTTGTTATGGGGGCAAAAGGAGAATTACTTTTGAGTTGTGAAATTTCCAGAGTGGAAGACTCCGGGGAGTGGACGTATGTCAAGTGACCGAACCAGTATAAATCTTTTGATGTGCTTTTTCCGTTTACTTCACTTTACTTATGTTTTGCATCTTACATTTGCTATAATTGTTTGGTGAAAATTCTATGCTAAATCTTTGTTGTGTGATTTAAAATTTCACCACTTATGTTGCAATCATGTTTTAATCATTCGCTTCCATATCAAGTTAAGTTTTGGTTAAAAAAATTTAAAAAAAAAAATTAGAACTCTTGTTTAGGATTGTTTCTTCATTACAAAAATTTCCAATTCACCTCCCCCCCACCCTTGGCGCATCTCATACTTTTAATAAAAAGTTATCTCCATGATATTATAGGCCTTACGAGGTTGTGGAGAGGATTGGTGCCATGGCGTATCGTTTGGAGATACCCCTACATCCATCATACACCTAGTATTCATGTGTCCCGACTGAGGAAAGTTATTGGAGACCATAGTCCATCAATGACGCAGCCAATGACCTTGACAGAAGAGATGGAGGTGATTCTGGAGCCAATGGAAGTGAAAGGAGTGCGCTCGATAGTAGGATCTAGAGAAGTGCTGATCGAGTGCAAAAATTTGTTCGACTATGAAGTAACATGGGAACCATACCAGATGATTCAATAGCAGTTTCCTTCATTCAACCTTGAGGACAAGGTGACTCTTTGGGAGGAATATTAATGAACCGGCTGAGCCTGTGGGCCCCACTAGGTTGGGCAAATGGCAAGAAGAAAGGGGGAGATCAAAGGGGATTAATTCCACCTTTAATTACTTACCACAAAAAATCAAAATTATGAGGGAATTAGGAAAGCTTATTTAGGGAAAGAGGACTAATTTGAATTCAGATTTGGGAGAGAATTATGAAAGGTTTATTTAGGGGAAGAGGGTTGATTTGAATTCAGATTTGTGAGGGAATTATGAAGGTTAATTTAGGGTTAATTATGTTATTTTACTTTCATTATGTGAATTGTGTTTTGCTATAATTTTCTTTGGAGTAGTTCCTTAGTGGCACCTAGGATTTGGGAGAGACGATCTACCTCTCGAATAGTAGATAAACTTGTATTTTGGTTTGTTATGCCAATATCTCTTATTTTTTTCTCATTGATTTCTGCTATATTTTCTCTTCATTATTGTTGTTTATAATGTGTGGAGATCAAATTCCTAATAAAATATATAGAGAATAACAATGATCTACTTATGATATTTATTTATTTAGAGAAAGAATATGATAAAGTTTCCACAGAAGTGCTATGGTTAGTTTTAGAAAAGAAAGAGTTAATATTGTTTATATTCAAGTCAGATATGTACGCAGGAGTTGTTACGTGTGTTCAAACATAAAGTGGTTTGACCAAGTATTTTCCTATTTAGTTGGATTACAAAAAGGATCTGCATTAAGCCCATATCTTTTTGCTTTAGTCATGGATGTTCTTACTAGACATTGGCAAGAGGACGTACCCTATTGTAT